CACACACACACACACACACACACATACATACATACATACGTATACATACCACAAAAGCTATGTTTAATATAATAACGATCATCATTATTCAAAATTATCACTATTATGCCATTCTTAAGCTACGTTTAAAATATTTATGATTATCACGTCATGTTCAAAATAATTATACAGCAATCACTTGATCGAGAGCACTTTATCACGAAAAATCATTCGGAACCATGATAGTAAAAATCATCACTTGCGTCCATCACGAAAATCACTCGAGACCGCGCAAATTACTGGCACTCTCGAGCGGACTTGAATCTAATAACAGCACCTGATATTCCGTACCTGCCACATCGTCTTGATAGTACATCGACGGTAGCTCTTCTGTGAGCAACAGACCTTCGCTCAAATCATCACTTGTGCCCAATACAATGTCCGACGTTTCCGTTATTATCGAATTCGTCAATGTACTGTCCTTCTTCAATTTAGACCAATCAGAATATGTTAGATCTGTCCTTGCTGAACCCTGCTCCTTCACTGATACAGTTTCCTTGTTAATCTGCTCATTTTGGAATGATTCCGAGCTCTTCAGCAAGGTATTGAAAGGTGGCGGTTCCGGTTCTGGCAAACAATGATCTGTTTTTGACGAGAAGGTATCAAGAATAACGGCATCGCACGGAGTCACCATGACCATTTGTTCTTCTTCGACGATAGTGGATGAACTTGGCGAACTGTGCACGGTACATAAAACATAATCTATATCGACATCGTTCGAAGACGGTTTAGTCAATAAATCGTCGCATTGTATGCCATGTACTTTTAACATGTGCTCACGAAGAATCGTTTCGCTGCTGATTAAATGTCCGCATATCTCTATCGGACAACGATACAGCCACTCCATTTGGTCCTCATCCTGGGAACATGTACTGGCACTCTGCTTCTCAATTTCGTTTTCCTTCGCGATAATCTCTGCGGCATTTATCAGTTCCGTGTTCCATCGCTTCGACTTGCTTGACGGCTTCACTCGCGAATAATGAGATTCTTTTGTTTTCATACGTTTTTGATTACCAGAAGTGCGCTCAAACATATCATTGGCTACGTTTTCAGGTTTAATCTGCTGATGTTTTTTGATGTGTACATACAAGCTGCTCTTGGCAGAGAATCGGGCATCACACACGAAGCATTGGAAAAAGCGGCCTTCCGTGTGTGTTAACCGGTGCTCCTTCAGATGTTCCGAGCGCATAAATGCCTTGCCACAATCCGGCACGTCGCACACAAATTTACGCTCGTTCGTGTGCTTCTTTTGGTGGCGCTTAAGCTTACTGGATGATGAGAAAGCCCATTTACAGTCTTGAAAAGTACAAGGATATGGTTTATAGCCGGTATGAGACCGCATGTGTGCTTTGAGTCGGCAAGGCTTGTCGAAAATCTTGCCACAACCCGGCCATGAACACTTGATATCCACTTCCTTATAGCTATGTGATCGTTGATGAGACGTCAATGCATTGCTACTGTAGTAACGTTTGCCACAACCTTCATGCTGACACACATAAGGTGCATGGCGTTGGTCGTGCGACTTCATGTGTAGTTCCAATGCTCGTTTCGTCTGAAATTTCTCACCGCAGTCTGGCACCTGGCACACGATTCGATTGGGACGATTGTGCAACTTCGCGTGGCTCCATAGATTGTAGACGGTAGTGAAACGACGATTGCAGCCTTCCACCTCGCACACATAATCCTTACGCTTCAGATGTGTCTCCTTGTGTCTTTTCAGCTTGAACTCTGAATAAAAGGCCCAAGTGCAGCCCTCAAAGTCGCACTGCAAAAATATAGCCAATTAAAACAATTGTGAAATGAAAAAAAGAACACGCTTATATGCTGAGTAATTTTAAGAGCTAGTTCACAAAATTAACTTTAAACACTTTTATTTTATTTTATTTGCTGCAAAATTTATATCACTGCGACAAAATAGATTAAAGAAAGAAGATAAATATCATATCTTTTTATATACCTTAAACGGTCTAACTCCATAATGGGCCAACAAATGACCCTTCAGAGTGTACAATCTACCGAATTGTCTGTTGCAGCCGTCTCGTGGACAGAGCCACACCTTGTCGTGTTCGGTGGCGCACAAAGGTTGCAGGCTATCGTCGGTGATACCTAATTCTTCCAGTGCATTGGATATAACAATTTCATATTGATTACTTGGATTACTATCGGTACCGTATTCAACTGTGCCATTCCAAACTGTGGCCGAAGTATCTATCTTGGGCAATTTTGGAAAATTGCCTGTTGCTTCAATCAATTCCGAAGTCTTGCCTTGATAGATCTGTTTCTCTGTGCCAGTATTGATAACAATCTGTGTCATGTTGGAGGTTTTGTCAGTAGATATAGCGACTACAGCCATCATGCCATCCTGTGAGTCTGTGTCAACGGCAAAGCTTTTGCCATTAATATGCTTATCAAACTTCTTCTCTATTCGTTCTGTCATTTGTCGACGTTTCTTGATAATACGAGGTTCGAGTTTTGTCTTCTTCAATTGTTCTATTACCATACCGTGTGTATCTATTTCCATGGAATTTGTCATGGTATTTGATGAACTCTCCTCCATCGATGGTAGAGTCCCAATGAAGAGCTCCGAAGAATTTAACGAAGATTGTACTACAGTTTCCTGTTCTATCTTTATTTCTTCTTCCTCTATTTTGTTTACGACTATATTCACTGGTAGTTGATTGAGAGTAACCTGTGTGGATTTCTCACAGAGTGTCTCATTGTTCTGCATAGGAACTCCTATTTTTGAAGTATTTTGTTCGACATCGTGATTTTCTACACTTATCATTGACTGGCTGCTCGCAGACGGCAGAATCTCACCAGCCACTATCATATCATCCGGCGTGAGAGTCACTAGTGGATCCAAATGATCCAGCTGGAACTCTGGTAGTATAAACTCGTCGACGACCTTCTCGCATGGTGGTTCCAGTAATCGATTATCGCTGTGCGTCAGATCTTGTAATATTGGATCATAACTTGACGACAGATTAAGCTTCTTAGTGTCTGCCAAATCGATGTCGATGGACAGACCATATGGATCTTTGCTCAGAAAACAGCCATGTGATAGCACCTCTTCACCCAGATATCTATCTACGCCTTCTACCATCTTGGTTGCGTCCAAGTCCATACTTGATGGCACCGGCGGTTCCGTGCTACGCATCTTAAGCCATTTCTCAAAGTCAGCTACCGTCTCAACGACGTCAACACCTTTTCCAGTCACCGTTTGTTGCCAATTCTCATTTCTTCTTGTTCTTTGATCCCTCTTACTGACCTCTTCCGTTCTCGATGAAGCAAAAAGAGCATCAACAGGTACGTATTCCGTTCCTTCGCTCTCGGAACTAATCCTCTCGCGACTATGTCGTCTGGATGTACATGCGGTGATGGCGGCAGTTCCTTTACAAGACATTTGTGGTCTGCTCCGTGGCCGGCACTGCGGAGGAAGCCCACGTTGGTGTGGAGCGATAACGACATTCGACAGAACATTATATTTTTTTCACGGCAAGAAGGGGCTCCGTTCCAGGAGCCCGATGCTACGACTCGTTGCACGTGCAATTGTCACCGAGCGTCTCGAAGCGAGCACCATTTTTCTTACCAATTGTTTCTGCGGCAAAACGCAATACTAAGATGCAATCCGTTTCTCTAAATCTCTACAATCCGCACCTTATACCGAGCAATCGCAAGTCGCCGAGGATCGCGCGGTGCGAATTGTCGAAGTCAACATAACCTCTTACCATGTACTGCTGTGGCGGGCAGACTAGGCAGCGATGTGTCGGATCGATATAGCGGTTATGTCCGATAGGGAGACTCGTCCGGTGATAACGACAGGGAGCGAGGTTGTTTCCTCCGGCGTTTGCCGAGTTTTGCTCGTGACCACGAGGTAAATATTTACGCGCGACTCGCTAATTATACTCTCTTTCTACAGATAACAATAAAGAGAAAATGATAAAACAATCAACAATCAACGGGCAAACTGACGCGCACAGCTAGCTCGCAGCCACAGCCGCAGCTGAGCCATCTAGTGGCACTCACGATTATCTTATGACGCGTCAACGTCACGGTAACAAAGATCTGTTCTTTCTGACGTATTCTTTAAGTCTATTCTACAATGTGCTCTTTGTTTCTTATTTTTTGCTTTTTACTTCTTGATTTTTTCCCTCTTTACAACCGTATGGTATAAACGTTTTATCGACGAAAAATTGCATTTCTTGCTATGTATTTCTTGTTTCTTCTGAAGTTCAATAACTTTTATTTCGGGCGACATAAAACAAAAAATCGGATAAGAAGCAAAAAGACAAGATGTAAAAAATAATAAAAAGCAAGAAACAGAAAACAAAAGGCACATTGTAGAATAAGCTTTAGACTAATTCTACAATGTGCTTTTTGTTTTCTATTTCTTGCTGTTGTCTCTTGTCTTATTGAAAAAGGCAAGAGACAAACAGAGACTAACAGCAAGAAATAGGAAACTAAGAGCACATTGTAGAATTAGTCTTAACATCTTGTCTTTTTGTTTTATGTCGCCCGAGATAAAAGTTAACGAACTTCGGAACCCATACAGCACAGAAGATTGAAGCAATATTGCTGCAACGTTGCAATATTGCAGATTGCAATGTAACATCGCTACTATAGAAGTATTACAGAAATGTAAATTAACAATATGTCTGCAAAATGTCAGTAATATGCTTGTAATATTCCATAAACATTATTACAAAACTATAATTCTTTAATTGTTACAATAATAATAATATAAAAATATAAGTTTACAATATTTATGTAGTACAGTCTTTTAGTTTAACAGCCGTTTTTATGATATAATAATTAATATACTTCATTTTATATTTAAATATTTAAAAAATTTATTGATCTATTATTTGACGGCCATTTCATTAGCTAAGTTTTATATTTATTTTAAATATGAAATCAAAAGATTGTATAATAGTTTGGATACAATCAATGCATCATTATCAATGCATCAGATAAGATGATAAGCAATTAAGCTGCTGAAACCGATTTATTGAAATATTAATTATGTGATCGATATGTATTACCTAATGAACGCAAGAATAAACCAGCGCCCGAACTTCATAAATCATATCATCATTTTTTAATCGATTTTAATTAACTCGGAATGGTTTCGAATTAAAAAAAATTACTGCGATTAACTTAATCCATGATTAACTTATCAAGCGACTATATTATTATATTAATGTGGATAATATTTTTGTAGTTTGTTCGGGGCACACACATACATGCTTTATCCTTACGAATAAATTTATCCTTCAAAATTAATATTATATTTATTGAAATATTTTATGGTTTTAAAAAATTGCTTTTGAAAAGTACATACCACTAGAAATATAATATATATATTTGTAGAAAAATTAAAATGAGATATTTATATAGAAATAGTTTTCATTTTGAAGTCTTCATAAAAAATTTATCTAAATACATTACATTACAATATTTCTGGAACATTTTGCAATGTAACAAAAAGAGAACATCTTAATTGTTGGAATTTTTCAACAATGTTTCGCAACCATCATGCATATTGCAATGTTTTAATGAAATCATTCTGCAATATTTCTGCGATCTTTCTGTGTTGTACGGGAAGAAACAGAAAACACGGAGCAATTATCGATAAAATGATTGCAAAGGAGGAAAAAAGCAAGAGATAAAAAGCAAGGAAACACAAAGAGCACATTGTAGAATAGGCCTTTCATTTCAATCTTCTCTTTAACGAAATTTTTTCCTTCAATATCTTGAATTTTATAGTTTTCTTCTATATATATATAGACATATGGAGCAAAATTTCAGAATGTAAAAGGATCATTCATTGCGTATCCATAATTACACAACTTATCGGACTTATCAAACTGAAAAAATTATAAAGGAACTAAAGATCTCACGAAGATGTTTATTACTTATATACTTATAACTATTTATCAGAATTTTTACACTATGGATTTATTTGTGATCTCATATTGGGACATCACTTGGACATCTCTTTTATTAAAATTTTGAGTTGCTTAATTCTCGAATGCATTCGCGGCTTTTCCTGTGCCATCGCCTGATGCAATATCTTCGCTGTAATATCGCGAGCTTCCTTCGAGTCTGATATTGGTACCTTCGATATTTGAGATTTCTCATAGGTCGGAGGATATGATTTAGTATTCTCTGATTTAATGTTTTTTTGATGCTGATTGGTGATCTTCTTGGTATTTAAATTGTTTGCATGCGGCTTCATTTCTTCGTATAATTTTCTAGGTGTTGTAGGTGTAACTATCTTACCCTCGCAAGTTTTATTGTCCTTTTAATAATTAATAATACATTCTTATAATAATATGAAAACAACACATTATAATTATGTCTGTAAAAAATATAAAATATAATATCTCCTTTCCTTAAGCTGTCAATGATTTTCAAATCTGGGAAAATAGTCTTGAAAAGTATAATTATACTGTAACTGAATGTTCTTTGCTACCTTAGGGAAACCTTCTACCATCGCCTTGTTCAACAAAACAGCTGTGGGCAATTTATACGAGGGTGATGACTTAGGGTGTAGTTCTGTAAATCTTGTATTTTTCGATTTAATCGGATCGATTACATTCTTAGATGCCATTTGATAACGCAAATTCTTGGAATTCGGTTGTTCTTGATAATTGGTCAGCTGAGCACGAGGATTCTTTGAGGATTTCTTAGGACCAAATACATATTTCCAAAGAGACAATTTTCGTTTTGCGGGCTTCTTCTGTGTCGATGATGCTCTTTGAATGTTCAAAAAACATATTTTTTTCCTTACTCCTGTTCAGATATATTGAAATAATTATGTTAGAAACAGAGCTTTTTTTAATTTTATTATTTATATAATGGTCCATAAATTTTTTAATAAATTTCACCATAATGTTCAGGTATCTTTGATAGAGTTGATATTGATTGTCTGTTACAACCTTCAATAATATTTTTCTTTGAACAGACAGACTTGGCGTATTGCCACGATTGTTGCCACAAGAAGGGGTTATATTTATTCTTCTGAGAATAAATTAAAAATATATTAACATACTGTTTACATACAGGCATCAAGATCAAGTCTTACGTTTAATGAAAGTAAACCGAAAATTTGGAGTCCGGACCGAAAATGTGCCATCGAGGATAAATAATATTTTACGTTCACAATTACATATTAAAAAATAAAATATGTATATTCTGATATGTACTATTTAGCAATGAAACAAAAAACGATGTGAACTTCATATTGCAAAAATACTCATAATTTTTTTAAAGATTAAAAAAAAATATAAATATATGCACCAATTAGAAAATAAAAAATGTACTCGCTAAGTTTTATAAATATTCATTTACAAATATGTAGTTAATTTTCATAAATTATTGTAAAAGTTCAGTACTTCTTTGTACTAATTTAATTAAATCTCTTAATTCTAGTAATATAGGAAATATTAAAATAAATATGTGAATTTAAAGAGTAAGCTTTAAAATAATATTTTATTCATAGTCGTGTTTAAAATAAAGTTATAAATTACAAAATAGAGTACATATTATATTTAAGCATATACAGAGCAATTAATTATTAGTGCTTCTCCGCCCCAAAACTCGACGGTGCATAACACATATATATATATAAATATATATATGTATATGTATATACATTATATACTTTTTATAATATATTTTGATTGCTGACTGTTTTTGTGATGTGATTTACTTTTAAATCTGTCATGCATATAATATTTAATAAAAATTTTTTCTTCAATCAATATGTACAATTTTCTTCAATATGTACAATCTTCATAAATTATTACATTAAGATGATATCACTGGAGATGAAATTCGATTTGAAAGCTTAATTTTTTTGAAAGTCGGTCCATAATCGTAATCTTCCTCTGATTCTGTTGAACTGATATTGATAATTTCACTGTGTTTATATTCGACAGGTAACTCTAATATTTCATCGTCTTCGCAAGAACATACATTTACATCTGATTCTATATCACTCTTCTGAATTCTTGAATGAGATATATCAACATTCAAATAATCATCAATATCACTGACATCATCAGAGACATTATCAACATAATGATGGAAATCTGATAAACATAATGACGTCTCGTTGCTCGATAGCTCTAGATTAATGCTACAATTTGAGGAAACACTGTTTTCATTGACGTTTATTATCTCCTTGAATATTTCTGATTCTGAAATTTTACATGCAGCAATATATGCACATAACTGTCTTAATCACAATGTCTTAATCATTGATTATAAACAAACCTGTACTAGTTATTTTAGAGATTAGTGAAGTATTCGTAGTATCCATACTTGTGAAATTTAGTGAATCACAGTCTGATATTTGGACGTTTAATTTTCCAAATGAAGCAACGAGTTGAGAACGGAATTTTATATATGATTCTACTTTATAAAAACATATTTTACACAAAATTGCATTATCTATCTTTGATATCTAAAAAAGAGCAATATAATATATATGTATTTACATTAAATTGTCGTATGTATAAACATATATATATATGTGATAAACTAAATATAAATTATTATATAATATTCACTGTATGACCAGTAATTAATTCAATAGCATCCCTCAGTGTCATATATCCATCAGGTTTCTCATGTGTGTCTTTTTCTTGTAAGTTAAGCAACAATTTGTCATCAAACACATTTCGGTGATTATCATCAGACAATTGTTTACAGGAGATACAATAGACACCTGACTGTAACAAAAACCAAGTAAATACCTATACGATTAATCTGTATTTTCTAAATTTTCTTTAGGTATTATATGTCATTTATTAAAAACATTATTATTTATTCCAAGTGAATGATTCTCAATAGATTAAAATTAAAAATTTATATTCACCATCTTTCCAAAGGCTATATATCGAATCAATGGGCTAAGCGCGTCGTGCAGGTCTTCAAAGTTATAATGTAAATATCGATAGACTATCAATAAGACATAAGAATATATATCAATAACTTGCTCTTAAAATGTCAATTTTAAATGAAATGTGTCAATCGTTCAAGAGAGAAAGAAAGAGATGCATCGATATACTGGTAGCTGAAAAAGAACTGTGTACAATTACAATCACTGATGAAAAAGTCGCACGAGAAAAAGCGAGAAAAATTTGTTCACTTCACTCGTTCAATTACATTTTTCTAAGTTTCATATCTTTTCTTTTATTTTAGAAATTAAATAGATCTCCATATCGTTTCGAACTGTTTCAAGCGTAGAAAGTGTATTTAGTTTATGATTACTCTATATTTGATCTAAACATGAAGGTCGCGACGGTGTAAACAGTTTATTTATTGTGTTTAGGTCTTTAAGTTAAATATAGGATACAGATCGCCAGCTAAACACACGGTGTACTACTGCGAAGTGCGAAGTGCGAAATGCGAAGACCGCGTCGTGAATAATTACACGCAGAGTGCAGAGTGAGCAGAGCAAAGGGAGCAGAGTAATGGACACACATTAAAGAGCATCGACGAGTATTGCTGATCGAGCCAACCTAACCTGACACGATCAGCAGGCAGACAGACAGTGACAGACGTGAAGCAAGCTTAGCGAGCGCATACTTCTCTCGGCGAAAACGAGTCGCAAATGACTCGATCGTAGCGTCGACGCGAATTATGGCGAGCCGTAAGAGGACCGACGATCCAGATCGTCGGTTGTCGTTGTCTCAACGCCACTTGTGGTCCTCGTCGTCTGACGAGGAGGAGGAGAAGACGACCTCCTCCTGGACGCCCTGCGTAGCGGAGTGTAAGAACTCATCTCTGTCAGGGAACGAAATGGTCTTTCTGCCGTTTTCGTCGTCCGATGAAGAGAAAATGATATCCTCCGCTCGTTGCCCAGGAGTCACGTCGACTCCATCGAGCAGTCGACAGGTTAGAATTCATTATCATTGTATTTATTATACTACGCGGACGCTTTGATGCAGGAGATTATTTTTTCTTTTTCTCGTCTGACTGTGGAAGCTAAAAATGATTTTTCGCAGGTCAAGACGCGTCGTCGCGTCGCGACAACAATCCCTTTAGTTTTAAGGCCTTCTTAAAGAATGGTATGCAGCAAACCAACTATCACAACACCGGGGCAAGGCCAAAAGTCTATTCATCCTCTACATCGAGTCCTGGTAACGTTCTTGATAAAGATAATGTCGGCAGCGGCGTTTATTCCGGTCGAAACCCAACGGAATTGCCAGACTTTGTACAGGATCACCTGGTTATTGAACAGTGTTACCTAAATCATGAAAATAGTCAACCAATACTACCTGATGTGGATAATCTGCCGGATTTTGCATTGAACAGTATGGAGCAAAGGCAGTCTCGATTACGGAACGAGACCAAAAAGAACGACTCTGACATCTTATGCGATGATCTACGATCGTTTGATCTCACTGATACATTGCACAAAGGCTTACCACACAGAGATCATTCTGCATCAAATACAAAAAATCAAATGCATTCAAATCACTTGGACCTACCTATGTTCGAGGATAGACTCAACGAAACTGCACCTATCTTTCCTCGTCCTGAACACAGAGGTATCTTGCAGAAGTCTCATGTTTCAAATTATACAATTATGTTCCTGCTAAGTTTGTGAAGATAAGAGGTATTTTTTTTACAGGATTTCCATTCGATTTGCCATTACCCTTTCCTGACTCCAATCCTAGTATAAATACAACCGCACGAGGCGATCTTCCATCAGGAGGTGAAGCGAATGTTCACAAATCTCTACCAGACTTCTTAAGCGATGGTCCTATACATAGATCTTCAGATTCAGAACCTACAGCGAGCATGACAGAATCCACAGAAAGAAGGGTAAGATCGCTGTGTAATACAGTAATCTAATAAATAAGATATAGAGGAAGTGGAGAGAATCCGAAATTATATATTATTACAGCTTTTATTCGAAAATGAAAGATTACGTCAACAATTAGAAGCATCTCGAAGGCAACTTAGTGAAAAAATGGAAAGGTAATTATAAATTATATGTTGTTGGAATAAATTTCAGTTTACATCGATCCGTTAATTGCAGAATTCGTTCATTGGAGGCAGAATTGTTATCTAAAAAGGAAGTAGAACACGAAGAGACTGTGCACTTGGAAAAAGCGATGGAGCAAGTCGAAGATAACTTAAAACGAAGTACAGTAAGTACAAAGATAAGGATTTGCATTTCAAATTGCAAATTGGAATTCTTACTGACTACATGTGCCATTGGGAAACGATGACAGCATTCTATTTGTATTTCGTAGAAGCGAGCAGTTAATGCTGAAAGTACTGTCACATCATTGAAAAAAGAAATTAAGATTTTAACGGTTAGTATTGTTTATGCTTGACCAACTATAATGAAACAGAATATAACACGTTCTGATGTATCGACTTGCAAATCTGTTAATTTAGACAGAGATATCTCTACTACGACTAGAGAATAGTGAACTTCGAGCTAGTATCTCGGCGGCTGGACAAAGTGAATCGAATGCTGGTGCTGTTAATATGAATCGTACAATTAGAAGGCTTGCGCGTGATTTATTCGCGGCTGCATCGTCGGCTGAAGTATCCCTCAGGTATCCTTAATTATTTGACTACTATCAATTACAAAAAATATATTTGAAACATTTTATAATTAATTTAGAATGGAATACTGTCTATTTTAATAAAGAGATGCGTAGTTTTTTTTTCAAATCTAAACGAGATTTCATATATTCCTTTACAGACAATTAATGTCCGGTGTGGATAATCTGAGAGTGCTCGCATCAACCCTCGAAAATGTGGACAGGATAGAAGACTGGACCAAAGACTTTTTACCTGATTCCGACGAGGATAATGCCACCGGTCCCGCAGTATAATGGAATTTTCTCTCTTTCTCTATATATATATACATATTATATATATTCGTATTTTCACACTATTCTCCTTTTTATCACTTCATCATATATCCCATCAATTCCCAATTTCACTGCGCATCCATTGATGATAAATGATCCATACGTTGATCGATTCAACACATTAATATCAATGCATTGCTATGCAATGTATTGATATTTTGAACGCAATGAGAATTTATTATTTCAATCGTTCCTTGTTATCTACATTCGTTGCAGAATTTTTAATTTCCATCCCTCCTGCTGCCGCCCAGACTAATATCCTAACGTAAGATCGCTTCGATTTGAACGTATAAATATATATTATTTATAAAATATTCGTAATATTTTTATATTTGTGACAATTTGTAAAATTTATTTAATCGAATCAATGACGATGCAAAGGAGCAGATACATTTCCGACGATATCATGACCTTCTTTGATTGAAGAGGAACATATTTTCTTAGTTGTATATTGTACGTGTGAACAAAAAATGCAAATTTAAAAAAATAATCAGAATCTTACGTGATATCGCAAAGTTGATAGACATTAAAAATATTCATCTGTTTTCATCACGCAGCATAACACGTGATGTAAAGCTAGAATATATTTTTTATATATACAAGAGATATCGAGACTCTGTCTTACCGCGTATACGATATGTACACATGAGGCTTTAAATAGACATATATAACAATTATACATTTAGTCCGATTCCAGTCCATAAATTTACTAATAAGTTCAGATCACAATGCTTGTATATAATGTCGTATATATTTATTTTCGATCGTATGTAGATACATGCGAAGTACACTCGAATTGTGTACAATATATGCGTAATACTTTGGTATTGAAAGAAATCAGATATATACATTTCTATATACATATACATACACATGTACATACACATACCATACATATACAAATGTGCAACTGCAGATGGATAACATTTATGATACTCGATTTGTCAACTTTTTTTATTTGGCACACTTGGAATAAAATAAATGAAAAAATTGGGAGATGAAGTATAGAAGTTAGAAAATTTCAAAGATCGGATACTTATCCTTCGACGACAAATCGTGTTACGAATTTGAAATTAATACTTTTTTAACATATTGCATGAAATGATAAAAGATAAATATAAAAATGAATATTTCAAAAAATACAATAAAAATATGAAGAACTAAGTAACTTATTGAAGTTGCAGTGAAAAAAGAATATATTTTATTCAAGTCCCTCAAAAATACTAAGTAGATCGGTCTGTGTTTCGGTGTGACTCGTTTGTGTATTTAACCAGGATCTACAGGCTCCAGTGGGAATGTTGCAATCGGTTCCGCAAATCAAGGATTTTGTTTGAGTCTCGGTAGAAACTGTAGTATCGTCGTGCGACCAAGCAGTCTGAGTTTGTATATTAGATAGTCCTAAATCAGAAGACAACATTTTATCGCATGTTTGAGTGTACGTGTTGCTGTATAGCAGTTGTTCCATGTTGTCTAGATTATCTGTAGTTTGCGTTTCAATGTTTGAACTTAAAGCAAACGGTCTCGACCCGAAAGATTCGGAATAAAAATACGAAGGAGAAAAGGCTTGCTCAGTTTGCGTTTCTATACTGCTAAATCTGTCTTCGAATGTCTTAGTGGTTAGCATAAGATCTGCCTGGGACATCCCATCGGTCGAAGCGAAAGAATACCCTTCAACTGCTGACGTGTCCTCGACATAAGGCAAAGTCATTAAAGCCACTGTACTCTTCGGTACGCATTGTATTAAAGGATTATGACTGTGATTGTAGAATGTATCAAATTCCGTTTGAGTCACGCTATCATTAAATGCCTCGAATATATCTTTTTCTGGTATCGTTTGCGTGCCTGAAGTATTCTTCTCCTCCCAGAAATCCTGTAAGCCCACGTCGTGACGAAGCGGCAGCGGACTAGCCGGAAATAAATTGGTTGATGCGAAATTATTGCCGAGATTAAGATCCTCTTTTAGCAACGTCTGTTCTGATTGTTTCGATAATGCGCGACACTTTCCACCACGTTTGTTTATCTTCGGCAATTCTCTGTTTGCTTGTGGTGTTTGTGTTTCTATTGATTTTCCGGAGGTTTTCTCCTTAGAAAAATGATTGGTTTGTGTTTGCTGAGATATACGACGTTTCGTATTGTGTAGATTGTTATTGTTGAATTTTAGAGGGCTCAGTCTCTTGCTTTTTTTATAATCGTCTGTTTGTACTCCGACATCGGATGTATTTTTTATCATATTAATATTTTCGCTATTCTTTCCAGATTTATCTGGATTGGGTAGTATTGAGACAGGTTTACTTATAATTTTTCTTGGTAAGATAATTTGCGTTGTCTTGGAGTTGGTATGTCTGCATATTATAAATATATCAGTAAATTTTTTATTCAACTACCGTTATGATAATCATGCCTACTAATGGGTATTCAATCATATCTCTTACGAATTTTCAATCAATTTAATTGCTCTGTTTTGAAACATTTCGAATATTATTCGAAACTGTATACTCTTGAAAGTCTTGATAGATCTTGATAAATCTTGAAAGTCTTGATAGGTCTTAAAATTTGATAATTCTTGATTTCATCGATTAAAAAAAAACATTTGTTTAAATTAAAGAAATTTGAGCATTGCGATTAAAGAAAACTTTCTGTGATTTAAATCTCATTTCTTGAAATCAAGTAAATTTTTATTTTCGTCAAATGTATTTTCACTTTAATTTAAAAAAAATCAACAAAAGAAACCATTTTTTAATTATTTAAATTTATTAAAACATTCAAGATATTCGAGATTTTTCAAAACATTCAAGACTTCTCAAGATATTTAAAATTGTATGGTTTCGAATCATATTCGAATTAATTCGAATTTTTCATGACATATTCGAATTAATTCAAAGCATCTTGATACTCATCACTAATTATGCCATTACTAAAAATGCGCAATGTGAATAAACATACCGTGAATTTTTATAATTTTCTGTTATAGTGTGCACAGATCGCTTTGCATGTGTAAGTAACGCTTCATATGTGATGTAAGTCTTTGAACAGGAACATGTGAACTCTATGCCACAGACTCTTGTATGTCCGTTTTTAGCGGATTCAGTGGAAAAACTTTTGCCACAGCGATCACACGCATAATTTTTTTCTGCATGTACCTTCAAATAATGCTAAAAGGATATAGTATAGCATTATTAATATATTCTTAAAATTAATTTCTCCAACTTTTTTGTCATTCATGTTCATTATCATATGAAATATCGAAATATACATACCTGTTTCAAGTATTTCATGGTGCTAAAGTATCTCTGAGAATTAATAGCATAGACGCACGACTGTATTGGGCAATGATAGCGTGCATTTTCCTTTGCAATTTTATCTAATTTTTTGTGCTGGTGCACCTTAAGATCATGTAGCCGGTAACGCGGTTCGTTTCTAAAAACAAGCCCGCATTGCTCGCATTTGACATTGTTATTTATTACACTTAGCTCTTCCGGCGATGGACAGATCATCTTCACGGATAGCGATGCGCTGCTTTCAGCCGGTCTATCAGGTCTCCTCGGCATTGCAGGTTATCTTATGACATGATTTCACATAAACTCTCACCGGTATATTTGTCGACTCAGCAATATACAAAAAATACTTGACTAAATGTTATCAGTTTTTCTTCTTTTTTTCTCATCTTATTTAGCATGATGTCTCTTTGATTTACAGTATCTACAACATAATTAAAGACATGTATAATGTATTAAAAATATACTTAATTTTTTTCTAAAATGCAACAAGTACTCCAAAATACTTAGTATTTTTCTTATATATAAAATCTTACGTATATTCATCGTTTGGAAAGCTTTTTCTTATACGTCTGTCGTCAAACGAAGATATTGATACAATTTCAGATATCGTATAGATAGTTAGAGTCATCCGGGCTTATCTCAGCTGTTCGAAACCATCTTGAAACCAGTAAGAAATTCGGAATTAGAATAGTGATATAATTATCGCTTTTGAGTACCCGCACGCATCCCTATTTTCTCAGCCCTCAGCCTGTCAGCGCGGCGCTACTTGTCGCGAGTCGCGAGCCGGGAACAAATCCTCCTTTGCGCCCGGTACGTCTCGCTCATCGGGCCGGTTGGGTCGATCGACCTTCCGAGTTCCGTGTTCCGTCCGCGAACGGCGGCGGTGGCAAGTGCTCGAGAGACGTGTGCGACGAAAGTGGATCGCGGCCGAATTCACGAGCGCACACAACATACTGACTCAGTGCGTTCCACCACTCGTACGGAGGACGTGCGTGCGTGCATCGAATGTATGTTAACAATTTTTTTTTTTTGAAACTGCATAATAGATCTGTATCGAGACTGATTCCCTCACAACTCTCGTCTGTCAATGAACACGAGAACTGACGATCTACGAGCTGTCACACGGTAAAGTAAACGTCGACAGTCGCGTTTCCAGAAATTTTAGTAGATCACCATGTATACGATGTGCACCACGTACGTTGCGCGGTCGTATTATTGATTTTTACCTGAGAAGAGAAACGCGTAATCGCAATCGTACCTACATGTACGTCGCGACTCAATGCATATAGCTGTCCAAGTTTTGTAATCGACTTCTATCAACATCTCGGAAATTTCTAGAATTATCCGACTACCCAGTACTCTAATGTATATGTAACAGAATTGATTGCTCCGATGTTTTTAATTGCGCTTTTCCGTAACATTTCCCTTTCTTTTCTTCTGCTCGATGAAGCTCGAGTGTTTATTGAGGGTTGAATTTTACAGGGAATACCAATTCTGTCAGGGAATATCAATATCGGTCAATCACAGTTGTCTCTCTCACTGTCTGCATTGTAATTGAGAGACTGCGACCTAGAAAAAAAATGAAATTATTTAAAAGATAATCAGCCTAAGATTATCATAATTCAATTGTCATATGAAGGATTTATTTCAATTGCTAATTGATAATTTTTCAGGCCATCAAAATATCGAAAATTTTTCCTATCATTTCTCTATGCAAGTACTAATCAACTTTTTTTAGAACTGTTTTTTATATCTCGATAATCTTTGATAAAAAATTTGCCACTGCAAAATAAATTTTTTTAAAATTTTTTTTTCGAAAGATTTCAAATCATTTTAATACGTAACAAAATATAACAAAATTAGTATTTTATAAAATTGCTTATATCTTAAGATTTTTGCATCATATAATGGCGCAAAATGTTATACAAAGCTTTAATAAAGCAATAAAACTAATATATTCATTGTGCCAATCTATACGACCGTCGTCGTGGTCATTGCATTGTTTTTTTTTAAAGTTGCACCAATAGAGCTATCATAAATTTAGCATTATCAAAGCTCTATCCAGTTGTTAAGATTAAGAAAGCGTTATCAATTAAATATATTTTTTAGTTAGATTCTGTTTTTTTCATATAAAAGATTTAGTTAATAATAAATTTTATTGTATTAGCACATTAATTAAAATAATGTAGAAATATAAAAATATAATATGAATCTGTAATTAACTTATATATATATATAATATATATATATATATATATATGTATATATGTATATAAATTCATAACTTTGTTCATTTATTTATAATAAATAACATGTAAAGTATTTTAATCAATTTTAAAACTTTAATATTGTTTTACTTGTTATCTTAATGGGAGATTATTAATTTTTATGATATAAAAGTCTTCAATTTCAATTGCACTTTATTATTTTTTCAACAATATTTGATAAATAGAAATTATCATTTCCGTAATCTCTTGTTTCGCTAATATTTACATGATTCTGCGATAACAAAATAATTCACTATTAAAAAAAAATATTTATAAGTGACGTCACAT